AGGGGTGATGGAAAATGTGGTTCCTCGGCTAATACATCTCCAGAGGCCCGAAGAATGGCCTCTGGATGGCTGGCTGGGGTTGGGAGTGGACTGGGTCGTCCTTGTTCAATACCCCTGTGGCTTTGATCGCAAGGGGTAGATGATGTGGTTGCCCTTTGGGTAGTGGGGGAGGATTTGTATGAGTAGGGTCGGGGGAGGCACGATGAGTAGCATCATCATCATCATCTTCATCATCCGATGAAGATGTCTCATGTGCTCCCTCGCTTGGTTCGGGGGACGGTTCTAATCGCTCAGGGGTAGCTACCCTCGGTTCCTGGGACAGCATAGAGCGTTCATAGGCCTGACGTATCTCAGATGTCGATGGAATGACATTGAGCATATCCCTGGAGAGTGGACGGTTGATGCTGTAACCCTCCTTCGAGAGAGTTGGGCGATGTCCATGCATCTTGTAGACGGGGGTGAAGGGCTCCTCAGCTGGTAGGCCATGTTTCCTCATTACATCCCCAATGAAGAGGGCGAGGAAGCGAGGGAAGAAAACCGCAGAGAGAGGCTTGCCAGCGGCTTGGAGTTTACATTTCTTGACCACTTCCGTATGAATCTCGTTGTAGATGAGGAAGGCATAGTCGAGGTTCAGGTTGAAGAACAGCCCATACATGATAGTCATGATGTTGATGTTCCCTTGGTCCAATGAGCCCAGTTTGCATGTGAGAGCTCTGTTAAGGATGGAGAAGAACATGTTCCACATCGGCAGGAGGAATTAGCGTTTGAAGTCCGATACGTTGCGTAGGTCACGATTGTAACCTAGCATCTTTACAAAGCGGAGGATGTCGTCGGTGGTTCGTCATATTGTTTAATTCCAAGTTCCCGTTGAGTGGGAATGCACATAACCCGAGAAACCTTAGCCCGCGATATTTTGAGCGAGCATATCATATCATTAGGTGCATCCATGTCCCCCATTATTCTGTGGCTTTCTGGGTCAAACTCACACGTTTGCCAATATTGTTGGACGTACTTTATGGGTACGCCGGTGTCAGCAAGAGTGAGGGCAGGAAGAAGAATGCAATTCTTGAAAAACTCGATCATAACTGCAAATCGTTCGTCAAACAGTGTGTTTTGAAGTTTGATAGCGTGGTTGTTTGGCTTCATGGGTAGGAAGACGATAACGCGGCTGTCGGCGCCGGTGGATTGGACTCTGCTGTCATTGTTAGATTCGTGGGAGGAGGAGGCCATTGTTGAGGAAGTTGCAGGTTTTGTTCGTCAAAATATAATTGCAGGTTTATGGAAGCGTGAAGAGAAGATGGATGAGGAAGAAAGGTATTTATAGGCGGGAATATGGTGAGGGAGTGG